CTCTATCAAAGCAACCCAAATGTTAGATACCTAGCACAGCACGAATAAGATGGTGAAGAGATTTTGAACCAGGTTACATTGAGGGAAAGCTGAAGTTGCTAGTAGATTGGAGAAGTTTACAGCAGCTGTACAGTGGCAGCAGATGGAGACCAGAGAATAGTAACAAGGTAACGGCTTGTAAGCTGTACCAGCTCTCTGTAACTGCAAAGAAATAACCAGGAGGCTCTCAGCAGTATCTTATGTTCAAAGATAGACTGGTAGACCACTTGGTATGAATGTTATAGGAGGACTCCAGCATTAAAGGGAATGGCAGGGGACCAGCAATTAGTGTAATGGCTGTGTCACTGGACTTCCATGTGGTTGACCACGGTTCGAGTCCCGGACCTAGTGGCTTGGACTCACACCAGGCGTGTGTGCGTGAGTGCCCAAGATCCCGAGAGGAGAATGGAGGAGAAAGGATTGCAGCGTGGCCATCCCCCCTGGGGGAGGTAGGGGGTGATTTCTCGCTTTCTGTCTCTCTGGCTCTCTGTCTCTCTGGCGAGCACACGCACCCTATAGCAAAAACCTCTCCCCCCACCAAAAAAAAAAAAAAAGAAGAAGAAGAAGGGGGAATGGCAGGACAGCAGATTGCATGGAAGTTAAGATGCGGGATTCAATATGTACAGCTGCGTAGTGTGAGTCCTGAACTCACAGGCTTGAAAATCACACCAGGTACGTGTGCATGTGTGCCTAAAATCCTGAGAGAAGAATGGAGAAGAGATTACTGGTGTGGCCATCCTCCCCTCCCGGGGAGTGATTTCTCCCTCCCTCTCCCCTCCACTGCCAACCTCCCACCTTGGGGGAACGCACACACCCTATAGGAAACGAAAAAAATTAAAAAGAAAGAAAGAAAAAGAAAGAGAAAAGGAGAAAGGCTGACAATAAATGTTATTGTTAAATAATGAAGAAAGGCCAGTTTGATGAAGTGAGAAAATTAACAAAGACCAAAGCTTGTTCTGTGAAAATACTAATAAAACGGCCAAGCCTTTCTTGAGTTAGAACTTGAAAAAAGAAAGCAAAAATAGACAATATCAAGAACGAGAGTGGGAACAAACCATAAACACAAATTTTTAGGACGCTAAGAGAATATTATGTGAATTCATTATGTGAATATAAATGTGAAAACTTAGTCTCACTCTAAGAGTGAGGGGTCATACTATTCAAAGAACTCTGGGGCCAGCAGCAGTTATACAGTGCTCTGTCATGCTGTCCCTGGTCCCCCACAGGGATGCAGGTGCACCCAGATCTGGGCTGGCTGAGACTGGGGGTAATTCGGGGTATGAAGACTATTGGGCGTGCCTGTCTCTCTTTCTCTCTTTCTCAGAAGAAATAAATGAATATACTTAAAAGAAATGTGAACACTTAGCATGTGATAAGGAGACAACTTTTTTTTTTTTTTTGGAGAGGTTTTTGCTACAGGGCGTGTGCGCTCACCAGAAACACAGAGAGAGATAGAGAGACCGAAAGCAAGAAATCACCCCCCCCAAGGGGGATGACCACACCGCAATCCCTTCTCCTCCATTCTCCTCTTGGGATATTGGGCACGCACGCACACACACCCGGCATGAGTTTAAGTCACCGGGTCCGGGACTCGAACCGCGGTCGACTACATGGGAGTTCAGCGACATAGCCATTACGCTAACTGCTGGTCCCAAGGAGACAACTTATTTTTTTAAAGTAGGTAAAGAATGTAAAGCAACACACTCAAGTCCAAATAAATCCACATGTTAATTTGTGAAAAATTGCTCCAACTTCCCTACCATTTAGGGAAATGGTTATTGAGGTAATAACAAGGTATGACTTTGTATCTTTTTTTTTTTCATGGTATCATTGTGTATCTTTTAGGCAGCAAATTTTAAAAAGAATAATGATACCTATTGTTAGTGAGAAAATGAGGGAAAGCGCTTTCCTGTGTTGCCAGTATGAATGTGTTGTCGTCATTCTTTACACAGTGATCTGGCAGTGTCCATTAGCACTACAAATACAGCCTTCTCGGCAGTCTCTCTTCTGGAGTCTATTTCAGAGAAATGAAAGTACCTGTGTATAACAGATTTACCAGGATGTTTATCAGCCTTGCCATAGAAATAAGAAAAATGGATGTAAATTGGATGCCCCTCACTAGGAGAACATTGGGATATCGTTCTCATATTTTAAATAAACTCTAAACCTCTGATAAATTTCAACTGTTTTTGCCTAAGAAATCACTTCTCTTTTACAATGATTGAAAATAAAAATATCAGACTGCCCCTGTAGCCTAGTAGATACGGGAACTGGATCCCACATGGCCAACCACAGTTCAAGTCCTCCTCGGCAGCTTGATAAACATACCAGGTGTTGGGGTCAGCAGGTGGCACGGTGGTTAGCTCTCACATGACCAGCTGTGGTTTTGAATCCTGGACCTGGTGGCTTGCTTTCTCATTCTTACTCTCTCTCTCTCTCTCTGATGAGTGCACATGCCCTATAGCAAATTAAAAACAATAATAATAATAATAAATATAAATAAATAAATATTTTTTTAAATACCAGGTAAAAATATATTATGTGCAAAATGCTGATAAGGTGGGGAAATGGAGGAAAAAGGATTGAGGAATGACCATTCCCTATTGGGTTGAGGGAGGGCTTTCTCTCTCCTCTGGTAAACATGTACACCCTCTGGTAATTAAAATAAATGAAAATTATATTTTTATTTCCTTGCATATATCTTTATTTCTGTCTGACTTTCTATGCCTTTTGTCTGAGGAAATGTCTTTAATATTTTGTATAGTGCAGGTGTGCAGATAATAAGTTATTTTGGACCAGCAGATGGTACGGAGGTTAAGGCAGCTGGATCCCACATGGCCACCTGCATGGTTTGAGTCCCAGACCCAGCAGATTGAAAAATACACTGGGCGCATCACATGTGCATGTGTGTATACCCAGAATCCTGAGAGGAGAATGGAGGAGAAGGGATTGTGGCCTGGACATCTCCAGGGAAGTGCTTTCTCACTTTCCCCTCTCTCTGTTTTTGTCTCTGGTGAGCACATATACCCTATAACAATTTTTTAAAAAATTTTTAAATTCACACCGGGTGCGTGTGCGTGTGTGCCCAAGATCCTGAGAGGGGAATAGAGGAGAAGGGATTGTGTCGTGGCCATCCCTCCTAGAGGGTGATTTCTCGCTTTCTATCTCTCTCTGTTTTTCTGGCAGGCACACGCGCCCTATAGCAAAGACCTCTCCAAAATAAAAAAAATAAAGAAAAATAAAGAAGTCAACCTACTTAGACTGAAAAAAGGTCATCATTTTGTTTTTATTGTTGAAAGATATTTTTTCTGGTTATAAAATTCTTAGTTGGCTCTTATTTTAGCACTTTAATGATGCTTCCACATTTAGGTTGGATTGCATAGTCTCTCATAAGAAATCTGCCATAATCTTATCTGTGTGCCTTTGTATTTAATTCTTGGTGCCCTGACTGCCTTGAAGATTTTCTCTTTGTTGTGAGATTGCAGTAATTTTTACATATGTATCCAAATGTGTGTGTGTGTGTGTGTGTATTCGTGGTTTGGTTTGGTTTTTGTTGGGGAGAGCCTTTGGGGGCTAATCTCTGAAGTTCAGCCATTCTCACTTCAAGCATCTCTTTTGCTTTATTCATTCTTTTTTCTCCCGGGAGTCAATTAATGTACATTAATGTGTAACATACTGCTCTCCAGCTCTTTTTGGACTCTCTAGTCTGGGTGTTTGCTGCTTTTCTTTCTAAGTTAAGTTATAGTTCTTTCCTCAGGTTTGTCAGGTTTACTACTGAACTCATTTAAGCTATTACACTTTTAAAAATTATAGCATTATGATTTTTCACTCATAGTTTTTAACTCTACTGCAGTTCCCCATCAATTCACATATGTGAGTACATATTTCTTTGAAATTCCTTTTTTTGATGTTTTGAGTATCCTCTATCTCTGAGTCAGATCTGCCGATTACCTTATCTCTTTGACATGGGTTGTTTTTCATTTGCTTTTTGTATCACGAGTTTTGATTGAATGTTATACATTGTATTTAACAAAATAGAGGCAAAGATTAATCATATAGAAATAGGTGCACCTTTTTTTCTCTAGAGCACAGTAGTAAATTTTTTCTGTAAAGAAGCAGGTAATAAATGTTTTTAACTGTGTGAGCCATGTAGTCTCTGAAGTTGCTTTACCTGATAATAATATAGCCGTTTTTGCTCCTTTCGCCTTATGTTTACATGGCTTTACCTTTTTTTTCATTCTTTTAATTTTAACCTATTTATACTTGAAGTGAATATTTAAAGTCTCTTGTAGATAGCATCTAGTGAGGTCATTTTTTTTTTTTATCCACTCTACCAATCTTTGGGTTTTAAGTATTATATTTAAACCACATGCAGCCCTCCCAGCCAGTCAGGATTATAGACCTAGTGTATACAGGTTGACCAGGGAACTGAACCAGTGATCCTCTGTATGGATCCAGCTTTGCTTCAGCAGTGTATTATCACTGCACCACCAGGGTTGCCCACTGTGGACTATTTGTTTGTAAATAGTAAAGTAAATGTAACCATATAGAGACACAAGGATATTTTTTGGACTGGGCATTTTTCTTAGAATCCATGAGACCCTAACACTACTTTATTTCATGAAGTCTAATAGTATCATACCAAATAGGAGGCTACAAATAAGGATCTGAGGAACTGAGCAAGCCCCAGATCTCCTTCCAGATTGTTAAATCTGTGATTTATTAGATGAAATTTCTAATAATCACCATACTAAGTCCAAAAGATTTCAACTCAAATTTCTTAGTAGTTGATAAACCTCATTCCAAGATTCTTGAAGGAAATTATCTTGAGGAGCTTTTCTGCATGGGTTTTCCAATGCTATGACAAGTATAAGCAGTTACTCTTATTTTTAATTCTGTTACAAGGAAAAATAAATAAATAAATAAATACAACACTGACTGTGGGATTCTTTCTTTCTAAGGCACAAGACCTAAATGTCATTGAAGAAGTGATTCGAATGATGTTAGAGATCATCAATTCCTGCCTGACTAATTCTCTTCACCACAACCCAAACTTGGTGTATGCACTGCTTTACAAACGAGATCTCTTTGAACAATTTCGAACTCATCCTTCATTCCAGGATATAATGCAAAATATTGACCTGGTAAGTGTAATTGGAGATATTTATTGTCATTCTTTTTAAGTATTAAAGCAGAGAAACTTTAACCTAGTAAACCTTGGTAAGAACTCCAAAAGTAAGAGTTCCTTCTTTCCGCATTAACTATACTCGCCATCTGTTTTGCTGTAATCATTACTTTATGTCGTGTGTGTGTGTGTGTGTTTGTGTGTGTGTGTGTGTTATACTGTATATATTGAATAGAATTGGGATTTTATTTTACAGTTCCATATTCTGCCATTTTTACTTAACATTTTGATCATTGACTTTTTTCTTTGCTATTAATTCTTTGAAAAGTCTCACATTTTATTATCTATCTAGATTGTATTATAGATGTCCTAAAAATATTTAGTCGTTATCCCATTATCACTCATTTTAATTATTTTCAATGTTTTATATCAACTAATAATTAATGAACTGTGTATAAATAAATCTTATCTTCCATTTTTAGATTTCATTTCTGATACAGTTTTAAAACTGAATATTAATTTTTAATATCTGAGACTATATTTTTTTTTCTTTTTTTTTTTCTTTTTGGAGAGATTTTCACTGTAGGGCGCGTGCGCGCGCCAGACAGACAGAGAGAGACATAGAGACAGAAAGCGAGAAATCACCCCCCAGGGGGGATGGTCACGCCGCAATCCCTTCTCCTCCCTTCTCCTCTTGGGATCTTGGGCACGCATGCACACGCGCCCGGCTTGAGTTTTAAGCCACCGGGTCCAGGACACGAACCGCGGTTGACTATGTGGGAGTCCAGTGACATAGCCATTACGCTAACTGCTGGTTCCCTCTAAGACTATATTTTTAAGGTTCAACACAGGCTACCATTGCTTTCTACAAACATTGTACAATTTCTGCACGTGTATATTATCTTGTATCTATACAGATAACCTATGAGAATCTATCTCACTACACTTTCATAGTTTTTAGTATTATAATTATTTTGATTGCTTATAGTAAAAAATGGTGTTTCATAATTTTTAAATTCTTTTTTAAATGAATTATTAAATTTAATTGTATTATTATTATTAAAATTTGATCAGAGATAGAGAGGGAAAGTGAGAAGGCAAGCCAGCAGTTCCAGAACTCAAACAATGGTCATCCCTGTAGGAGTCTAGCACCTTTACCACCGTGCCACCTGCTGGCCCCTATTGTATTTATTTTAATTTTTTTAATTACTAGTATGGTTGAACATTTTTCACAGGTCTATGAACTTTTGCTTCCTGTCCTTTTTAAAAATGCTTTTACTGAAGTTTTTTTTTTTTTCTACATTAGTTTTTTCCCATTCAATTGGATTTCATAAATATTTCTTGAATAGTTAATGTGATTCATAATCTAAGCACTGGAGTGGACTGAAGAGCCAACATCCTGTCCTTGTGGAATTGTAGGATGTTGTCTTACTATGCTATTTTTAATAGGGCGCTACCATTTTACACCGCAGCTAGTCCTGTATGATAATTCCTATTGCTTTACTTCTTCATAGACAGTTTTAGTTTTGTCAGTTTGATAATGGCATCCCATGATAATTTGAATTTCTCATTTCTCAGTTGCTCATGAGGATGAGCCTGTTACACATATTTACTGGTCATTTGGACTTCTTCTTTTGGTAAATGCGCATTCAAACATTCTGCCCTTTTTTTTTTTTTTTTGAGCTATTTTTCTTTTTCTTATTAATATCATATTATATTACTATTGTTCTAGATTCTAGGCCTTTCTTTGTTATGTGTTGTAAATATCCAGTCACTAACAGAACTATATAGTCTTTCTAACAGGACTCCCAAAGCTCCTCTCAAGGGGACCAGCAAGTGGTGTGGTAGTTAAGGCACTGAACGCCCACATGACCAACTGTGGTTCAAATCCCAGACCTGGTGGCTTGAAAATCACACTGGGCGCATGTGCACATGTGCCCAAAATTCCTAGAGGAGAATGGAGAAGAGAGGATTATGGTGTGGCCATCCCCCCTGAGGGCGGTGATTTCTCATTTTCCCTCTTACTGTCTCTCTCTGGCAAGCACAAGAGCCCTATGAGAAAAAACTTAATTTAAAAGTCAAAAACAAACAAAAAACTCCTCTCAAGTAGTCAAACACATCAGGTTACATTCTCAATTTCATTCTTTCCTTAGAGTCTGATTTCCTGCCACACCCACTGAATGGCGATTCTCCTACATAGATTCAGGATTTTCCTGGGAATTTCTTTCACTGTTCTTACAATGAGACTGAATCCTGCATCTTGCTTTCTTAGTTTATTGCTTCGTATTTGTGGAGTATGTCCTACAGTAGCTTTCTGAGAAAAGAATATATGTAAGATAGCTTTTTTTTAATTGCTCAATTCTGAAAAACTCTTTTTTTCTTACTTCATATATGATCTCTTCTCTCTAGAAGTTAATCTAATCTCTTTATTCTTATGTTCAGAAATAATCCAGATTTGCCATACCTTGGTTAATTATATTGGACACTTGGCAGGCCCTTTTAGTCTAGTGGCACAAGCTCAGAACTATCAAATATTTTATTAAATTATTTCTTCCCAACGCCAGGCATGTGTGCATATGTACCCAAAATCCTGAGAGAAGAATTGAGGAGAAGGGATTTTGGGCATGACCATCCCCCAGGTGGTGATTCCCCCCTCCCCCGCCCGGCAAGCACATGTTCCCTATAACAAAAATCTCTTAAAATTTTAAATAAATAAATAAATAATTTCTTTTCTGCTGCTGCTTCTCTGTGAGACTCCTGTTCATCAAGCAGTTGTTTTCTTGGGAGCCCCATCATAGAAATATCATTAAATCTGATTTCTTAGACTGACTAGTGTCCCCAGACTCATTCCTGGAGTATATAAGTCTGTCTCTTAGGGTTTTAAAAGCTAAGGTAGGGAACCAGCAGTTAGCATAATGGCTATGTCGCTGGACTCCCACGTAGTCCACCACAGTTCGCGTCCCGGACCCGGTGGTTTACAACTCACACCGGGCGTGTGTGCGTGTGTGCCCAAGATCCTGAGAGGAGAATGGAGAAGGGATTGTGGCGTGACCATCCCCCCGGGGGGGGATTTCTTGCTTTCTGTCGCTCTGTCTCTCTCTGTCTGTCTGGCGAGCGCACGTGCCCTATAGAAAAATCCTCTCCAAAAAAAAAAAGGCCAGTGTGGATTGCACAGCATTGAAACCTTGTTGGGGATGCTCATGCACATGTGTATGCACGCTCTCTCTTTCTCTCTCTCAAAAAACAAATAAACTTAAAGTTTTTTAAAAAATTAAAAAAAAAAAAAAAAAAAAATGCTGAAGTGGAAAGTGGCTGAGCCAAACTGGAGATAGAGGAGAAAGCAAGGAAAATGGGCTGTAAGCAAAAACTTCCTATTTGCATTCAGGGTGGCAGCAATCCGTAAATGCAAATGCCTATAGATTCTGATCAAATTTCTGTATTTAAGAAAATTTGGGGCCAGCAGGTGGCATGGTGGTTAAGGCGTTGGATTCCCACATGGCTGACTACAGTTTGAGTGTTGGACCTGGTGGCTTGAAAATCACCCTCTGTGTGTGTGGGTGTGTGTGTACGTGTGTGTACGTGTGTGTACATGTATTCCCCAAATCCTGGGAGCAGAATGGAGGAAAAGGGATTATGGTTTGGCCTTTCCCCCTGGTGGTGGGGTGATTTCTCACTTTCCCTCTCATAGTCTCTGTCTCTGTCTGTCTGCAGCAAGTGCACACACCCTATGGCAAAAACCTGAAAATATAATAAAAATAAAAAGAGAATGCTTCTGTCTAATCTCAGAAGCCAATTCATCAAAGTGGATTAATCTTGTACCTATCCTGGTAGCCTTGTGTAGTCATTAGGTACATAGTTGAAGTCAGCTCTGGGCTATACCCAGGCTCCCATTCTAGGCTCTTACATACAGGATGTGTTAATTGCTGATGGTCGCCACAATCACATATTAATGTAACTATATAAGTGAGTATACTTTGCAAGTCTACTTACTGATTTTTCTTCATATTATTACTGTTTTGTGTGTGGTAAGCAGAAGTAAAAAGTTAAAGCCCTTTGCTATCAGTTTAATTAGTGTTTTCATTGGCTTTCCATAAGTTGCTTCAACTATGTACCTAAGAGTTGCAGCTATAGCAAAATATTTTGCCATGTACACACTCATTTTCCCAAACTTATATCAGCATCAATTAGGTATCATCAACAGAATTGAGGCATTTGGATATAGTTGCCATCAGTGCAATCAAGATAAAACAGAAACACTATTTCACATGAGCATGTTTATTTCTCAGACTTGACAATCTTAGGCAAGTCTTTATATGTTTTAGAGGTTTTTGCCTTAGAGTGAGTACGCTCGCTGGAGAGAGAGAGAGACAGTGACAGAATGAGAGAGAAAATGAGAAATCATGCCCCAGTGGGGATAACAATGCCGCAATCCCTTCTCTTCTAGGGATTTGGGGCATGAACATTCATGTGCCCAGCATGATTTTCAAGCCGCTGGGTCCAGGACTCAAACTGCATTCAGCCATGTGGGAGTCCAGTGACATAACTGCCATACCATTTGCTGGCCCCTTAGACAAGTCTTTAAATCCCCACCATCATGAACCAGAACTCTCATGTAGACTTGTTGATATTTAGTACATGTGAGAGCATCTACAAGCTGCTTCTCAATTAGTTCTTTCTATGGCCCCATGTCCTTGTTAACTCTGGGTTTAATTGGTATAAACTCAGCCTTTGAAAACTGACAAGTACTGGCCTAGCTATGGTGGCTTGTACTAAGACAGTAGGACTGAGACATCATGGAAGTCCCAGTTTGATTCCTGTCCAACCCAGGCCTGGCTCTATGAGCATATCTGCAATCCCAGTGACTGGGGAAGTGCAGGCAGGAAGACCATGAGGCTGGCCTGGGCAATAGTGCAACCCTGTGTAAGTAGCCAGGCATTGCAGCTCCCACTTGTAGTCTCAGCTTGGAGACTCAGAAGGAGAATCATGACATTGCAAAACACCGTCTTTAAAGAGAGAAAG